AAAAAATTATAAATTAGTCATTGAAAGTTTAAAAGCACCCCCATTTTTTTATCATTCTTCATCAAATTTCCACAAAATGAGATAGTAGTCTTGATTCTGACCAAACTTCCTGGATATAATTTGAAAAATATGCAAATATAGTATATGCAACACCACTGAAAATGATATTAATGAAGTATATATATGTGTATATACCTCGATATTCTGGGACCTGAAGCAGTTTTGGTGCCCGGCTCCTCATCTGGGCACAGATCTCCGGCCTTGGCCCGTGCTCGTAAGGCTCGGTCTCGACATACCTTTGCAGCAGAACTTGAAACTGTTGAAACTGCTGGGCAACATAGGCCGGGCAGCCCGGGTCAAACTCCCGGCGTGAGGCTCGGAGCCTCTGGAAGTACTTGTAGCTCCACCCTAGAGTCTCCCATGTCGAGCATATTCTCGCCACATAAGCCAACTCCAGCTCGCGGTACGGGCCCTCCAAATTCCGGCCCCCTGCCCTCTTCAACTTGTGCGCGATTCTTTTCGATATGGACTTCGGGCCAGCCTTTATGGATCTCAAAGCTTCTGAAAAACACATATACAACAAATTTCAACGATTTAATCTTTTCTATTTTATTTTATTTTATTTTATTTTTTTTGTCCAAAAAAATCGTATTCATGATAATGTTAATGCATAAGCACCTATTTCTTGGAGTTTCTGGACAGTAATCCTGTCCAGAAACAGCATTTCTTCATCATATTTTTGGAAAAGAGTGTAGGACTCCCACTTGGGACAGCTTCTTCTGGATGAGGACGAAAAAGGGTCATCGTTCATGGAGCTTCTCCACTCGGACGAGTCCCTAGACGTGGAGCCTAAGGTGAAAGTGTCCTCAAATATCTCGTTCTCTTCTTTTTTATCTTGAGGTAGTAATAGCTCCTTGCCTCGTGACATAGGCTGTTGAAACACCGTAGAACACTCATCTTGCCTGAAGCGGATGTCGGTTTTGCACTGCTGCTTATCTGGAAAAACTACATAAGGTAAAATAATTCATTTTATATGTAAGAAGACAAGCCCAAAATGATAATACAATTGATTTTTTTTTTATTTTTTTCTTTGTAGACTTAACTGACCTTCATGAGTGACATAATTATTAGAACCCAAACTGGTATTTGTCCTTAGGTTGTTAGCAGAGGTTGATGTGGGCCCATCTTCATATTCTTCAGAATCTGTAGAATCTCCAGAAAGAATCTCCTCCACAACAACTTCATCTTCTATACCAGAATCTACAGCTGGCGTGCTGTACCGACTGCTTTCTTCACAACTATAATCCGAAAGACTTCCTTGCGGCAAATCTTCAATAATCGGTGACGGCTCGAACTGGTCCTTTTGATCGTCTTCATAAATTATGCCGTCCATAAACGGCTCGGGCCCATAATATTTGATTTCTTCTTCCATTTCCTCATCAGAAAACGCATCAAACTCATAGCTATCTTGATTCCTGCAAGAGAATAAGAAATAAGTATTCCTTTTTTCACATATTACAGAAATTCCCAACTATCGATTATATTTATAAACATTAGTGACGCCCGATCATGCCTGTGGTAAAATGGACTGCCTCCGAAGAAGATGAATAGCTTGGCAAGGAAAATGAGCGTGAAATGGAAGAAGAAGAAGAGGAGCAAGAAAGAGGACGAGACGTTGTAGAAAAGCCTAACAAATGCTTCCTTCGGGCATTGCAGCATTTTCTTAATCCTTGTCCAGTAGATGAGCTCTCCACTTTATCTAACCCAACTAAGCAAAAGAAGCATTTCAAAGTAAGTGTGCAAAAAAGTTGATGAGGGCTTTAAATTTTGCTCTTGCTCATCTTTTTAATTAGTTTGGCAGGGCCATTCATGCTTTTTCTCCAGGAAAGACAGATATGCCCTTCATGTGCTTTAAGTAATCCCCACGTAAGGTCAACAGTTTTGGGATGACACAGAGCTCATATGCCATAATGCCAATACTAGAATGATCAAATAATAATAATAATAATAATAATAATAATAATAATAATAATAATAATAATAATAATAATAATAATAATATTAATATGATGTTTCTGAGGTAGCAAAGGGTGCAACATTGTCCAGCTTGGTTATATGTTCTCCATAAAACAATGTAGAAAATTAAAAAGGGAATGTAAGAAATCTATGGCTTCACAAGGTAAGAAAATGGTAGGTAAAGGCCGGAATAAACATTATTTGAAAAAGAAAAAAGAAACAAACAAATAAATAGTATAGAAAACGTCCTCAGCTTGTGGGGGTCATATTCCTCATGCTAATTCTTCTTTTATGTAATTTCTAGATGCCGTATATCGAGCAATCCTCAACATTTAGAAAAGAAAACGTCATAGCCAGAAATAGAGAGAAGATAATAAGCGAACAGGACTAGCTTGCGGCTAAGAGTATATATATTCATAATACCATTAACTGAAATGTATTTTTAAGCAGGATAACTTCCAACTTACAATCCACTTTGTTATAACATTTGATGATAGCAGCCATCAAATATAGTAAAAACAGATTAAAATTTAGAATGTTTGGTGCGTAGAAAATGACAATTGAAAAAAACATCGACAGTTCCAACCTCACATAGTATAAGCATACCTTTGACTTCTGATCATCTTATAGATTCATGGCCGTATAATACTTTCCATAATGAAGCTTGCTTCTCTTCTCACAACCGTTAACGTGATGACTCCCCTACCCACGATGGGCACATGTTAATATATCCACCGCTTATGTGGCATGCACACAGGTGATGTAACGTTCAAAAATATACATCACCAATGTGTGCATGCCACATAAGCGGTGGGCATATTAACATGTGCCCACCGTGGGTAGGGGAGCATTACTGACGTGATGATATGACTAATCCATGTGATCCTGCCTCCGACTTAATTAGCATAAACCGTTTAGTCTTATATGGTTATTATCATAAAATAATCACATATTAGGGACCAATTTCTGCAGAAAAGGGAGGGAAAACTGAAGTAGATAGGCACAAGTTTTATATGAGGTGTTTGTAATTGATGAGAGCATTAACATATGAAGTCCCCTCATTAGGACCACAATTCAGAGGCCTCTTTCAAGAAGTAAATAAATGGAGTACATCTTCATAAATCAAGAAGAGAATGGCGGAACTAACGTACAATGCACATTTTGGTGAACCGAAGTCTGTAGTTGAACGAGAGAAAAAATAAACTAAAGATGAACTCTCAATTTTCCAGAACTTTTGTCAGGACAATGACAATTTTATCCACTCCAATTTTAACTTTCATTTGTTAGCCTTTCTTACCCCATATGTAACTCTTCTGATTTCTGACCTTCATGGTTAATGGTTCCCTGACATAATATTATTTATTAACGTAAAAAATATTCTATCCATTATGCTATAGATGAAACAAACACTTACTAAATCTTAAATTCATTATACTATCTCATAAATATTAATCACTACACAAACTAACAAACATAAAATGTAATGAAAAAATCAACAAAGCTGCTCAAAGCTTTTAAGAATCGGAATTAGATGGTCTAAAAGGAATACCAGATTATAATCACATAACTTTCATAATGAGTAGTCAGTGCCAAATATTCTGCAATGGAAGTGAAAGACAATTCAAGCTGCGGCATTGAAAAAGATTAGATATTTGGGGAAAGGATATATTCTGCAGACAGGAATAGCTTTAAAAAATGGCATCAAGATTGCACGAACAGTACCCCGTGTGCCTGACTAAGACTTGAAATCAAGGGGTTTGAAATTGATCAATTACAATATCATCAAATTGCTTCAATTGTACAAGATATGTCCAGTATTTGAATCAAAAAGTTCCACATCCAGAGGCTACATATGAACCTCCTAAAATAATGAAGTTCAAAACTTGTAAACTTACACACACTTGAACAGGAGTTGAACATGCATATCCATATATCATAGAACACAAGACAACAGAAAACTATGCAATCCAAAAACACCCTTAACATCCTCAAATTTGACTGAAAAATTCTCGAAAAACTGAATATCTACTGCATTATAGTACCTATTCATAAACTACAGAAAAAAGGGTACAATTTGAACCATTCTAACCACTGATACCAGAGAGAACGACAAGAGAACAGTAAATTTCAATAAACCACTCATTTTTTCTTTCACTGATAACAAGAACGAGGGCATTTCTTGCAACAAACATCTTCACATGGACGGTCCAGCCGCAAAAAGCCAAAACAATTTCCTCAACAAAGAATTCAATACAATTAATTCTATACACAACACAGTATCAATTTTTATTTTTTTTTTTTCTTTTTTTCTGTTTGGCTATGTATTGTATTTTCTTTAACTAATAAGAATCTTGATCCAAATGTGGATTGCAGTCTTTAGAGTAGAAATCATTCTTCTCAATAAGAGCTCTCAACATATCAAAAGTAAACTCCGAGCTGTTAGGATCACTGGTAGGTGACTCACCGGAGGAATCCAGAGTGCGCGGCTGCCCCAAGCACGAGCAGCCCCATCTACCCCCGCCGCCGACACCCCTCCTTCCCAAACACCCAGGATTTACAGAAATGCCCCTCTTCTCCCTTTTCCTCAGCCGCAAGAAAGACAATCTCCGGCTCTTTTTCCCGCACCCTTTGCAGTTATTCTCTTTCGCGTTCGTGGGCCCCTCCTCGCCATCGCCGTCATCAGCCTTTGCCTTCTGTTTATCGGACATCAAAAATCCGACCAAACCGATAGTGTGTCCGATCAATAGATCACGAGGGTTATTGGCATGGCACCCAAATGTGGTGGCATATGATTTAACGGACAAAATTGATGGCAAATAATTTTATCGATTTCTTGTTTTCGACGAAATTGATGACCCTTTTACAAAGACTGTATCAAGGGATTGAAAAGATTGGGAAAAGGAGATGATTTTTTTTTTTTTTATTCCGGTGATGATAAGAAAAATAGTTTAGCAAAATTGTGAGAGATGATGAGAAGCTATTTCTATGGCCGATTACAAAATTATTCATATTATTTTAATTTATTTAATATGTCAAAATATTATTTAATTAGACATATTATTTTATAAAATAAAATATATCATTATATTAGTTGGTCTTCCACTTTTTGAAATATTGTTTACACAAAGAATTATTATTTTTATATACTATTTGATTTATTTTATAGTAATTCAATACAAAAATATATTTTTTAATAATAATATTTTATATAATTCTCAAATTGAATTATAAATTTAATGGTAAAAACTTTGTCAAATAATGAATTTTAAGATAAATCAATTGCATATAATAAAAGAATAAAAAAACAAATAGAAATTGTAGAGTAATGAATAGTATTGTGCCAGATGTAGCACGATACTACTCATAACTGTGGAGTAGTGCAGAGATGTAGCGCAGCGTTGGAGATCAATTTTGTCTTTACTCTAGCGTAATACACTAGAGTAGCGCATCACTTGAGATGCTGTAACAGCTAGCTTGAATTTGGATTTTCTTTATGGAGAGGCCAACTAGTCTGCTGACACGTGTCTGTCATAGTTGCGTATTTGACAATTACCTGATTATAGATTGGTATAACAAACAGACATTTTATTTTAATTCATAAACAGTGCTTTGGCTAGCTTGAACAACAGTTGATTTGATAGAAAGTTTGTGAATAATTGTCTAATAAATATGAAACTAGTACAACAACTGTGTATTACACGGATATTTGTTAAAATATTATTTTTAAATTTTTAAATTAATGAGAAAAATTATTTTAAATTTTATTTACTTTTTTACAAAAAAATATATATTATTATATATTTTAGAATGACACTTATTACTTGTGAGGCTTACATGTGATATATTATACTAATTTAATTTGAAGTGAATAAATTTCACCCGGCTCCTTCAACTCGAACTGCCTCCGTACCTGCAGAACCCAACACCGGGGGTGGCCCCGGCGTCGGGCCTCCGATGCCTAAGTCAGTCCTCATATCAAGAGAGATAGTGTGTAGTCATCAAAATGAGTAGAGAATGAGAGACTGAAGTACCTTGGCCCCCTTTTATAGGGGGAGTGTACCTTGTGGGCCCAAGTTGGGCTTGACCCCTATCGTTGGGCTTAGATGTTTTAGTGGGCTTATCCTTCAATACATATCCGTTTTATCCATTAAACCGGGTCCAGTATAATATCCTATATCATAATTTATATTATATAACTACTTAAAATATAAATATATTAACTAATATTGAAAACAATTTTATTCTTGTTATAAAGGTAAATATAATTTATTTTTTTTATACATACAATATGATTATTAAATCGAAGCTCATCAAGAGATGATTGATTTGATTTATTATATATGTAAAACTAATAAAAAATACAAAAGTTATTAACTTTTAAAATACATTTACAATTCGATGGTTAGAATAAGAATTATTATTAAAATGCAATTAATACATGTCACATGACCATAAATAAGCAAAATATTTATGGATAATCTGGACCTAATTATTTTTGGATTAAAAGTAAATTTAAATATACCCAAATATAATAACGAAGCATTATATTTTGACACATAGGATCCCGAATCATGTGAATCTGCCACTTAGTTTCAGCACATTCTGAATTAATATATAGGGGGGATTGTACTGATTTTAGGCATATAAGTCTATGCAATGTTGTTTACAAAGTTATTTCCAAAAATTTTGCTACCAGAACCAAACATGTTATTCATCTGTGTGTGAGTGAAAACCAAGCTGCCTACATCCCTGGTAGGCAGCTGTTAGACAATGTCATTATGGCTCATGAAATGGTGCACTTCTTGAATAGGCATAAATCCAGTAGAAAATTGGATATGATAAAAGCCTATGATAGGCTGAAATGGCACTGCATTAAATTAATTATGCTGAAGTTTGGTTTTCATTCTATCTTTGTTGAGTGGATTCTGGAGTGTGTGTCATCCTATGCTTTTTCTGTGAATATTAATAGTGAGATCAATGGGTACTTCAAAGCTACCAGGGGCATAAGACAAGAAGATTTCATTTCTCCTTATCTTTTTATCTTTGTTTCTGAGTTGTTCTCTAGATTAATTTTGAGAGAGGTGCAGGGTGGGGGGGTTAGCTGGTGTCAGAATAGCTAGGGGTGGTGTTCAATTCATCTCCTGTTTGCAGATGATTCCCTTGTCTTTTGTGGAGTTGATGTTTTGTCTGTTAGATCTGTTCTCAAAGTCCTTAATCTTTATAACAAATTCGCTGGGCAGAAGGTGAATTTGAGACAGTCCTCAAATTCTTCAGTATGGGTACTTCTTCTTCAAACCAAACCATTGTACCTTGGGCTGCCTTTGGGGATAAGCAGGTCTAAGAAGCAGACTTTTGATTATGTAGTTGAAGTGGTTAGGAACAAAATCTCAAGTTGGAAGAATAGGTTTTTGTCCTTGGCTGGGAAGGAAGTCTTTATGAATTATGTCCTAAACGCTCTCCATGTCTTTACCATGTCTTGTTTTACTCTTCCTGCTTTTCTTTGTCATAAAATAACTAGCATGATTGCAAATTTTTGGTAGAGCAATGTTGAGGACCAGTCTGCAGGTACTATTGAAAAGCTTGGCAGTTTCTCACTCTTCCAAAATACTGTGGTGCACTAGGTTTTCATGATCTCAAATTGTTCAATGAAGCACTTATACTCAAACTGATTTGGAGAATTGCAACAAATTCAGAGCTGCTGATCAGTAAACTTCTTAAAGACAAGTACTTTTCCACGGGTAACATCTTCACTGCTCAGAAAAGTCAGAGTTTCTCTTGGTTGTGGAACACTTAGATGACTGTCAAGAAAAAATATCAGCAATGCTTCAGAAGGACTATTGGTGATGGCCACTTTACAAAGATCTGGCAGAATCCCTGGTTGAACATTCAAAAACTGGTATTCCTGTGTTGAAGCCTAATGTTATTACTAGTGTTCAGTTTGTGCGGGAGTTATTGGAGGCAGGAGGTTGGAGATGGAATAAGAATCTACAAAGAGTGTTGTTTAGTGATGAAGACTGCAAAACCATTCTGAATATAAAGTCAATCAATCCAACCAAAGCTGACACATGGTCCTGGGACAACAATGCTAAAGAAGAATTCTTGATTGCTAATGCCTACTCTAGACTTTGTAAGAGGAGTTCAGAAATCTTGATATTGCAGATAGTAGTGGTCAAGCTAATTGGAGCAGAATAGTAAGATCAAGAAGCTGGAAGCTCAACATAAATGGAAAACTGAAGCACTTCATCTGGAGAAGCTACAATAATACTTTACCTACCAAAGATAATTTGTAAAGAAGAGATATAAACATGGATAGCATATGTCAGAGTTGTGGTGAAGATGTTGAATATGTAGAGCATGTGTTTTTTTTTTTTTTTTTTTTTGTGTGTTCTAAGGTTGTCCAAGTTTGGAAGATGGCACATGTTTCCTGGGATTTTAACTGTGACAATTCAACCAAATTCATAACCTGGTGGGAGATTGTTTGCTCAGTAGATCACAAAGACATATATGTAGCTCGCATTCAGTTGACTACATATATCTGGTGGTTGTTGGAAGTCTCGCAACTTATGGATCTTCAAAAAGGAAAGGTTGCCAGCTCAAATCATTATGAGGGCAATAGCTATCTCGATAGAGTTTTCTTCCAGACTACAAAGGTGACTTTCAGAGATGTAAAAGAGGGAGTATAGGTCCTTTTGGTTTCGATGGGCACTCTTTTTCTTCTTCCTTGTTGTTTTTTTAGCTGGGTTTGTTGGTTTGTTCACTGTACTTGGAATATGTGCTGGTTTGTTTGGTTTTTTTTCATTGTGCATGTATTAAGGTTCTCCACTTCCTTATTGGTCTTAACATTTGTTATTATGGTGCTTTGTTCTTGATTTTGTTTAATTCTAAGCTACCATGCAGTGTGGTTTTCTCGTGCTTTGTAGCATTGGGCTTGATAGCTCTCGGTTTGTATTGTGTACATTTGGTTGAGATAAATTTTCTATCGTTGCGAAAAAAAATATCAAATTGCACAACTATCTTAAAAATCTTATTGACATGTCATTTTATAAAAAATTTCTTTCTTAACAAAATAATAATAATAATAATAATAATAATAATAATAATAATAATAATAATAATAATTAGCAATCTTTTATGTAGCACTAAGAATAGTAAGATAGACCGGCTTAAGTAGGGAGCTCGGCTAGGCCGGTCTAGGAAACTCTCGCATGTATAGAATTACGCTACCCGATCAAGTAGCTCGTATACAAGCTCAAGACACCGACCAACCTGAAAAGATACGACATGAGGGTATCGACCTTCAAGAGTTTGGCAATCCAGCCGACCTCGTGGCATCGAGGTCGGCTGGTCTGAGGACATATTAGACCTGAGATTGAGTTAGACCTCGAGACAAGGCCAGGTAATGACATTGGCAGTAACTTCGTATGACTAGTGGAAAAAATTCACTCCCACCCATACCGTACTAGAACTGAGCTTTTCCATAGACAATGTTATAATTTTGATACTAATTTACCAAATAACTCATGTTTTGATTGTCGACTCTCTTTGGATCTCCAAATTGCGGTTGACCTTTTCGTTCGAGTACCTGAAAAGCATATGGAGAGTTCCCGATGTAGAGTCTCCGACAATTAAGTTAGCTCTTCGTATATAATTTGTATGATAACAATGAGCAAAATGTAATAATACATTAATCATGCCTCCACCTTTATATATGAAAACGGTTACCTTGTTGCCCACGAATTTTATTCCCTTAAGGGACTCTGATGTACACATTCCTTGTTACATTAGATCTCCTTCCATATATTCATTATTTTTTAGATTCTCACAATCCTACCACTCTTAGATATCCCCAGGTTGAGTCGAGTTATCCCACGAGGACTAGACTAGATACGTTTGTCTTGTACTGACACATTGGATGAAGTCTTAGGTCATCCAGATTTCAGGTCGATAGATAGATCTATCCTCCATGCACCTACCTCGACCTAACTTCCCTGAGTCGAGCTAAGGAAGCTCCATTCAATAATCAAATTAAAAATAATTTTAAAGATAACTGAAAGATGAGGACAAATAACTCATCAATATAATTGGGTCCTTATAGCATTTATGCCAAACTCATGCCAGTTTTATGTAATTTAAATCGAAGGAAAACTGAAGTTCTTTCCAAAGTACACATTATAAAAAATGCTCCTCATGATTAATATTCCATATAATACTTTCATGCCATGCATTATTTGTAAATCCCTTAATTTGGAAACAATGCCCCTCATGATTAATAATTATTCCATATAATACTTATTGTCATGCATTGTTTGGTAAATCGCTATATTTGGAAACAAAATTCTATCTAATAAACAAATGTCAATAACAAGAATAAATAAATGAATTAACAAATAAGCTAAAATGGTAAAACTAGAAATATTGTGTCTATTACTCTCCTCTCATTGGGCTTTTTAACGTTAGAGTAGGACACGCGAGTGTGTCTGGAAGCATCTCTTGTAAGAGGTTTTGGAACAAGTTTGTAATTTTAAACCTGCATGTTTTTTATGACATCTTTAAAAGCAAACCTCCAGAATCCTCATTTTTCGATTCCTGAGGTGCCACATAAATCAAAACTTTATTTTTACTCCTACAACCAAAAATCTCAAATAACCATAAACCTCTTTTTTAATGGGCCTCATATTTCCCATTTACTATATTTTAATATTTTAATTTTATATATTTAAATAATAAATTATTTATAAACCTATATTTAATCACTTTAAATAGGGCCCACGTAAGGTTTGAAAGAGGATTGATTTTACAAACCTCTAGTTTTAAAACCTCAAACCTCATATCATTAATGGAAAACCTATTAGGGTTGGAATTTTTCAAAACTTCCTACTAAAGTTGTTCTTAGAATGATCAGCTTTGAGGTTTGAAAATTCAAACCAAGATTTCAATTCTAAACCTTCAAATAAAATAAAAATAGTCACATTTCTTTAAATCAATTTATGTGTATGT